GTGTTTGCTCCTCACTCACCCGCTGCTCCCGCCTGGTCTCTAGGACCCACACAAACGTGCTGGCGCCAAGGGTCCGGGACCTAGTCATGAGTTTACTGATCTTTGCATGACAAGCTGGAAAAATGGTCCCTAAGAGAATAAATGAAAAGATAGGAAATATTTTATGTGCAATGTGTAAAATTTCAAAATATTACCAGCACACATATTTTGGCCAAATGTTACACTTCACACATTGCATTTTGTTTGTTTGTTTGTCTCTTTAATCTTCATTGCCTTTTTCCCCATTATCATTAGTCCCATTACCCCACCTCCCAGCAATCACCACACTTGTGTCCATGCCCACAAGGACTTTTCCTTTTGCTCGATCCCTCCAACGCCAAAACACCCCGCCCACCAGCTGGCCTCCTGCCGCACTTCACACTTCGGCTGAGAAAAGTTTGCACATGACTGGGTCGCAGGCTCTGGCCTCATGCGAGACTGTGTAACTGTTTTGTCTAACAGATGGGAACTGAGAGGCCCAGACAGATGGCACATTCGTCTCCGTCCAGCTGACTGGCATAAACAGGACTCAAAGTCAAAGCTGCCTTCACACCTGAGAACATGTCCTGTGAACACAGTGGTTCCCAAACTGCAGTGATTGGGCCCCTCAAAGGATATTGGGAAATCTGGAGGTGGTTTTGTGAGTCATAATGTATCACGAGGGTGCCATGTCGTCTAACGTGCACAGTCCAAAGGATGCATCTCAATATCCCACATGCACAGAACAGGCCTCCCCACAAACAATGACGCATCCCCATTGTCATAAGTGCATGTGCTCAGATACCCTGTTCTGCACTAACTCACCCTCAGGAATTCATTACAAAGGAAATAGGCAATCAACTGTCATGACATGGGGGAAGGTTGGAAAGAAATAGAGGGAATCAAAACCTATAATCTTAACATGCACTTTCCGGCAGAACACAGAAGAGAGCCCCCCTCCTTGGTGGAGACAGGCTGAGGACGGACCCAGAAGGGGAAGCTCTGGGGAGTTTTTGTCTCACTTCCCCATGAGGCTGAGCACTGTGTGATTACTAGTACTACCATCATAAGACTGGCAGTAGTAGTCGGCCTCGTCCTCAGGCTGCAGCCCAGAGATGGTCAGGTGGGCGGCGTTGGAGGAGCTGTCGATGGAGCCCGAGAACCGATCCGGGACCCCGGAGGGTCTTTCATCATCCTTATAGATCACAGTGGTGGGTCCACTGCCTGGGCGCTGTTGGTACCACGATACATAGTCACCTCCAATGTTGCCGCTGCTGCGGGTGCAGGAGATGGTGGCCTTCTGTCCCGGAGACCCCGACACAGAGGGGGGCTGAGTCAGCACAAACTGGGCCCAGGACCCTGCAAGGAGGGAGCAACACAGAGATCAGGGAGGACAGACCTGACCCCGTTCCCCCAGGTGGAGGAGAGGATCCCATCGAAACGGGTAACAAAGGGGTGCCCTCCCAGAATTCCCTGCAGGCCCCACCTGTGCAGTGAGCAAGGACGGCGAGGAGAAGTGGAGCCCAGTCCATGGCGGAGACAACCCCAGACTCTGCTTCCTGAGCCCCACAGCCAGGCTGGATAGTTCAGACTTATATGCCCCCCTGACCTTTAGAGTAGGATGTCTTTATGCAAATCTTCCCTTTATAGGCTATGGAAGCCCCTCCTGTAACCTACTGGGATGCCACTGAGAAAAAAAGATTGTATCTGTAGGAGGATTTCTTTCCAAATACCAAACAGGAAACAGGAATGTGGGGCACGGTCGCCCCCTGGTGGATGCTGGGCACGTGGCAACCTCAGGCAGAAGCTGGTGCCCAGGGCTCCTGCCCTTCCCCTGGCCCTGACCCTGTGCCCCTCACATTCCCAGCCTTTTCAGATGGGCTCCGTTCACTTAGACACATGCGTGTTAGGTTCCCTCATGTCCTACTGTGGCCTGAGAAGTCATTTATTGATATTGCAAATCATACTGTTCCACTGTTCAAATGGACCAGTTTGTTGATTCATTCAGCTCTTGAAGGACATAAGAGTAGCTTTTTAAGTTTTAAGAAACATGTATAAATCAGCCCTAAACTTTATGGCGTATGCTTGTTTGAACTCAAGAGACTAATTTAAGTAAAATCCTAGGAGTGTGATTTCTGCATTGTATCGCACAAGAGTGTGTTTCACTTAGTGAGACGCTGCCAAAGCGTCTGCAAAGGTACCCACAGCATGTTGCGTTCCCCGCAGCGCGAGGCAGAGGTCCTGCTGGCCCACTTCCTGGGAGCATCTACGCTCATCAGTGTGGAAGTTTTACCCATTCTGATGGGAACCCAGTGGTCTCATTGTTTAAACATGGAATTCCCCAATACTAACTGATCTTGGGCATCTTTTCACCTTTATCTCCCCATTGTACATGTGCCTGAGGAATAAGACTGTTCAGAACTGCTCATGGGAGGGGGCGTGTGGAGAGCATTCCCCAGGATGTGGGAATTCAAGAGCTCCAAAAAGGTCTTAAATCAAGTGAAAGAAAAAATTCTTCGTGGTTTCTAAGTTCAGAGAAGTATCAGTGAAGCCTAGGACGCTACCAGGGAACAGGCAGGTTGCCGTGCATATTTAAGCTGGATATTAATAAGGGAAGGAAGGAAGCAGAGGGAAGCAGACGCTATTAGGCAAAATCAAGGAGGAAGCATAAGCCTCCTGCTTAGCCAGGAAGCCACACTTCACTCTCCCCGGGGGTCCCAGCATTGCCCTCCAAGGGCCTTCCCACCTTCCCTTCCCCGTGGAGGGGGCAGCCCGACCTCCAGTGCAGGATGGACCTGGAGGCCCGGGAAGGTAAGCACATGCCCGATAGAGGTAAAATGACAAAGGGGGAGGTGCTTCTATGAGGCCTGTGCAATAGGAGCCAAGATTTGCTAGAAGGCTGGCCCAGACAAAGCTCAGGAACCTTGGAAGCTTGGTTTGTTATTTTAAAAAGGGCCCGGTCCTTTCTAGGCCTGAGAGAATGTAATGGGTGCCAGGGAACAAAGGGTCCTCTCCCCCCTCTCTCCTCTTTCCCAGGAACTCGTGTCTGCCTGGTTTGTTCACGTGTTCCCTCCGTAGCAACACGTGGGTCTAGAATACAAGCAGGGCCTGACACAGACCCGGTGGGAACCAGAGGCCTAAGCTCTAATATGAAACAGAAACTCTGGATGCTGGCCATTGCTCCGGCCTTGCTGAAGATGCGGTTGAGCTTTCTCCATGGCAGGAGGGACACAGAGGTGGCAGAGGGGCAGCCTTCTATTTCCACCCGAATAAATCTTGGTGGCACGAAGGGCCATCGGGTTCCTTGGGGTCACACATGCTGTACTCAGGCCTTTCCTACCCTGTCAGAATTGTGGGGATATTTTGCTCTGGAATCTAAGCAGTTCTGGGTGCACTGGAAGAACCATATTTTCAAACATACACATTTCCCTGACACCACAGGGAAAGAATTGTGAGAATGAAATACTTTTGCTTTAAGCAAAAATGACATCAGAAGCAAAATGATGAAGTAGTGTTGGTCACCGGCAGGGACAGTGGACAGATGAACCAGGCAGGGGCATGGAGGGCAGATTTATCACATGTCCCCATTGACCAGGACATTTTTGTGGCACTGGGGTTGTGTTCACCCCTATACCAATGACCGTTAAAGTCTCTTAAGGTTGGATCCCAGAGGTGGTCACAGTGGTTCTGGTGACAACACAGAATTTGGAGAATGAGGCTCAAACCCCTGGATGGTCCCTCCCAGCTCTTCCTGGTCCCAAATGTGGGGACTTTCCCTGGGAGCCCTGGGGACATTGCCATGGTAACCGCCAAAGTGTCTGCTACTTCCTGTGCAGGAAGGTGACCTGGGATCAGGTTTCATCAACTGCTTCACTAGGGAGGAAACATAGGCACCTTCAGGGGACTTCCTGCTCCTGATGGACGCGAGCCCAGCCCACACCCTGACGGTTGGAGAGCCCAGGGGAGTATGAGACAGCAGGGGGACAGTCAGGGCCGGTGGGCTCAGGAAAACCCACTGTCAGCCAGGGAGGGCGCCCGAGGGCCCAGTGCCCACGCTCAGGCTGCAGGGCCTGGGACTGTGGGCATGTAGAGGAGGTACCGCAAGGCCCTCACTTAGGCATTAGTGTGGGGTTAACGGGACTACCTTGGTCATCCCTTGCACTTGCAGGCACAGCAATGTGACATAATAGAGAAAATATCTTGGTTTCGGCCCCTGCTTCCTCCCACAGAAATCCTGGAACCTTTGAAATGTCCTGTGTGACAAACGTGACTCTTTTTCTAATGAGGTGAGCCCCAGGGTGAGGACTGGTCACTCAAAAGACAAAGGCATGTGTAGAGGCTTGGAATTTTCACACCTGCCCCACGTCCTTGAGGAGGGAGAAGGGCTCAGGTGGCGCCAGCAAATTAATTCAAACCCAGGGAGGGACCACAGGAGCCTTGTGGCAACAGCCACGAAGGTGTGAGAGACCCGGGACATGGAGACTCTGATGGGCTCCTGACGTGCGGGCAGCCCTGCGGGGCGGAGCCCTTCCCCGCGGACCTCGCACCTTCCGCGGCAGCTCCGGGTAGAACAGAGTTACGCTGTGGGACGTCCAGCTGGGGCCTCAGAGAACGGCCTGCTGTGAAGAAAACTGCCCCGCATTTCGTGACCTGATGTGTCAGATATGAGGAATTCCGTGCCAACGGAAACTAAGAAATAACAGAATAAATGATATGAGATTTTTTACCTAAAAATATTTATTTTGTTAAAATTTACTCCAGACACAGGGGGGATGGGGAGTCGGGCTCTATCAGCCCATCAGCACAAGGGACCCTGGGACGCCCCGCGCCCTCACTCGCCACACTGTGCTGCTCGACCTCCTTCCACGGACATTTCTGACTGCAGAGGAGTCTCCTTACAGAGGCCTCCACAGACGCTTCTCACTTCAGGGAGGCTCAGAGCCGGAACCTCTGGGCACAGGGGTTTTGGTCTCACTTCCTCGTCATCTGAGCCACCGTGAGCACTGAGAGATGCCCCCACTGTTATAACATGCACTACAGTAACAGTCGGCCTCGTCCTCGGGCTGCAGCCCGGAGATGGTCAGGAGCCCGGCGTTGGCCGAGGCGTCTTTGGAGCCAGAGAAGCGGCTGGGGACCCCGGAGCCCTGGTGCTTCTGTGAGTCTGAGTGGTTGTACAGCAGAAACCGCGGAGGGCTCCCTGGCGTCTGCTGGTACCAGGATGTAACAGAGCTGCCAACACTGAAGCCACTGCTGAGGGTGCAGGTGAGTCTGGCCGTTGCTCCCGGAGACGCAGAGACACAGGGCGGCTGGGTCACCACAGGCTGCGAGAGGGAACCTGCAAAGATACAGACACTTATGAGTGATGGGGCAGAAAGCAGACGACGTTTCTCAGGAGATGGAGCGTGAAGGGAATAAACACGGGAACTGAGGCCTGGTCCCCGGGCCTGTCCCAACCTGTGCACTGAGAGAGGAGCACGAGCAGGAGAGGAGTCCAGGCCTTGGTGCCCGCAGCCCCTGAGCCCGCAGTGGGGCTGGGCTGCCCAGGCCTCCTTTTCTTCCCCACCCTCTGCCAGGGGATGGGCTGCCCATGCAAATGTGGGTCCACCCAGGGGCTGCCCAGCCCCTCCCTGAGCCCTGGTGCTGGAGCTCAGCTCACACCCCACACTGAAGAGGATAAGGGTTGGCGACACCCCCTAGAAGAACCCTTTTCGGGAGCACCTCTTGAGACAACTTTGAAGTCCCTTCTCAGGGGACTTGTCAGGCCACAGAGGACACAGCTGCTGAGTTCCCATCAGGGTGCGCAGGGGCGAGCCCCCAGGCTCAGGCTCCCATTAGTGAAAGGTCCCTAAGAGGCAAGTCTGTAGGCTCCACAGAGCAGTCCCACAGCGCCACCTGCTGATGGCAGTGCCTACCTGTCCCCTTAGCCCAAAGCCCTGAGAGCCCAGCTGGTTTCCCCAGCTCAGCAGGTCACTGGCTCTATTCACACATCCAGGGTCTGGTTCCCAGTCACTGTGACTCTGATTCGTGTACTGGTTACTGTAGCAATCACACCCAGCTGTCCCCTTTCCCCTTTGGGAGCTGCAAACGTGTACATAAATGACAAATTAAGTTGCCTCACCTCCAGTGAAGATGTTGCAAAAGTAATTGCCAAGTGACCTTATGTGCAGTGTCACAGACCCTGGGACCATTCATCTGGTTAGAAGGGCTCGTGTGGGCTGTTCACAGAAATTTCCCGGAACACACTCAGAGGCATGTGCAGAGGAGGCCACCTCGGCAAACATTTCCAGTCACGTGATACAGGTACAGTTTCATAGACCCGATTTGATTAAATGATGAAAAGAGAATGGCTTGGGAAGCCTTCACATTTAACAGCGGTAAGTGTAGCTTGTTCATTCATTCTAGGAATTAACATTAATTCTTAGTTTACTCTTTTTTTTTTTTAATTCTTGTGGTCCGCATGCCATTGTCATGTGTTTTGTATTAGGATTAAGTCCTAGGTGCCATAAAATTGGTATATATTTTAAAGAGAATTTTCCTACCTTAATGCTCTTTCTCATTGTCTCACTGTAGTAGGAGGATAATAGCAGGTGCGACGCGTTTGCAGATGTGCAGACTGGCTGGGCCGTTGGAGGCAGAGACCATCACTTCCCTCTGTGCCCGCATCCAGCTCTGCGTTGACTGTGCCCATGCCCCACGGCCCCCACGCTTCCGGACTCCCAGGGCCTCTTAGGAAATGACTGGGACCAGGATCACTTGCTCCCTTGGCTCTGTGTCCTCGAGGCACTCGAGGGGCCTTTCTCATCCAGCTCAGGCAGCTCGCCTCCTGCTTAAACCCTCAGTGACCCCTCAGTGCTGTTTGCACGGAACCCCAGCTCCTTGGCCCCCCTTCGGGGGCTTCATGGGTGGCCGCCACACCCCCATGGCCCCCCACGGCTCTTCCACGTGCTCTCAGACCTCCAGCGTCCCCCGCTTCCCTCTTCCTTCTACCCTGTCTCCTGTCCCTTCATGCTGTCCAAGGTGACTCCTCCTCCCTCCTTCGCAAGGAAATAGGGTGAAACTTGAGTCAGGGTCACCACAGACCAATCAGCTGTTCTGAGTGGCTCTCACTAGCAGGGCTCTCACACATCATCGCAGACAGAACTGGAGAATTGAAAGGACACTGTTGAAGTTACACAAACTCTACAGAAGAGGCAAAGAACCTCCTGCATCGATTCGGCCACGTCCACCGCCGTCCGGAGGGCTCCTCGTGTTCAGTGTTCTACCCTCTGTCTCGCTCCTTCTGCTGCCGCACTGACTCTGAAAACACATCCATCTGTTATGTCCCTTCATCGGCACGTGTTGTAACAGACGTGTGCAGTTAGGTGCCCACACTCACGCACTGGACAGCGACGCATTTCAACGACTGCCACATCAATGCCGTGGCTCGTAGTGCCCAGCACGGTTAGCGAATGGGTTGCTGTACTGAGCGAGAGGGTGAAGGAGGAACAGGGCATCCTATGTTTGGAGTCATGAGGTTTGGATGACATGTTTGAGCAGAAGAAAGTCCAGAAAAGCCCACGTGGCCTTGGACAATCATTGATCAGCTTCCTTCGCCCACGTCACAGGGCAGGATCCTGCCTTTGTTCGCACAGACATTTCAACCCCATGGTTCTTCCTCCAGGAGTTTTCCTTTCAGGGTTGCATGGGACTTGGCGATGAGAAACTCAGTGTTACATTTCGTTGATCATATGGTGGATTTTGAGCTGTATATTAGCCGCAGGTGACAATGGATGACCTTACAGATTGTTATTTAAGTGGAACGTGAGCAGACATTGAAACAACTAATTTGCCCTGGGCAGATATTTTGTGCACGGGAGCCGTCTTGTCTTCTGCCTTCAGTGTTTGCTCCTCACCCGCCGACTGCCCCGTCGGTTCTCTAGGACCCACACAAACACGCCGGCTCCAAGCGTCCGAGACTTGTCATGTGTTTATTCATCTTTGCATCAGGCTTGAAAAATGGTCCCTGAGACAATAAATGAAAAGATATGAGATATTTTTAACTGCAATGCATAAAACTGCAAAAATTTAACTGCACGTATACTTGACCAAAATGTATACTTCCCACCTTTTTTGTTTCTTTGTTTGTTTGTTTTAATCTTAATTGCATTTTTTCCCAATACCATTTAGTCCCCTCACACCCTGCTTCCCACAGCAGTCACCACACGGGTGTCCGTGTCCATGCGTCCTTTCGCTTTCTGTTCAATCCCCCCACGCCCTACAGCACCCCGCCCACCAGCTGGCCTCCTGCTGCACTTCACACTTTGGGCGAGGGGACCGTCCACATGACTGGGTCACAGTTCCTCACTTCACGTGAGTCTCTGTAACCGATTTGTCTAACAGACAGGAACACAGAAGCACTGAGAGAGGGCACATCGGTCTCCATCCAGCGGAATGGTGTAAACAGGTCTCAAAGGCAAAGGCTGTCTGACACCTGACAACATGTCCTCAGCCAGCGGGTCTCCAGCTGGCGTGACTGGGCCCACTCTGGTGATAGTAGGAAATGTGAGCTGGTTGTGTGGGTCATAACTTCACAAGAGGGTACCAGGTCATCTTCTGCGCAGAGTCCAAAGGATGCATCTCAATATTCCGCATGCACAGAAGAGAGCTCTCGACCTCCAGTGACTCATCCCTGTTGTCACAAGTACACGTGCTCAGACCCTGTTCTGACCTAACTCACCCTCAGGAATTCATTTCAAAGGAAATAGGCAATCAACCATCATGACCAGGGGGAAAGTTGGAAAAGAAATAGAGGGACTCAGAAACCTACACTCTCAACACACGCTTTCCAGCAGGAGACAGAGAGCCCCCCTCCTTGGTGGGGACAGGCTGAGGACAGACCCACAAGGGGAAGCTCTGGGGAGTTTTTGTCTCACTTCCCCATGAGGCTGAGCACTGTGTGATTACTAGTACTACCATCATAAGACTGGCAGTAGTAGTCGGCCTCGTCCTCAGGCTGCAGCCCAGAGATGGTCAGGTGGGCGGTGTTGGAGGAGCTGTCCATGGAGCCGGAGAACCGATCCGGGACCCCGGAGGGTCTTCGATCATCACCATAGATCACAGTGGTGGGGGAACGGCCTGGGCGCTGTTGGTACCATGATACATAGTTGCTCCCAATGTTGCCGCTGCTGCGGGTGCAGGAGATGGTGGCCTTCTGTCCCGGAGACCCCGACACAGAGGGGGGCTGAGTCAGCACAAACTGGGCCCAGGACCCTGCAAGGAGGGAGCAACACAGAGATCAGGGAGGACAGACCTGACCCCGTTCCCCCAGGTGGAGGAGAGGATCCCATCGAAACGGGTAACAAAGGGGTGCCCTCCCAGAATTCCCTGCAGGCCCCACCTGTGCAGTGAGCAAGGAGGGCGAGGAGAAGTGGAGCCCGATCCATGGCGGAGACGACCCCTGACTCTGCTTCCTGAGCCCCACAGCCAGGCTTGAAACTGCAGACTTATATGCCCCCCTGACCTTTAGAGTAGGACGTCTTTATGCAAATCTTCCCTTGTATTGGCTGTCAAGCCCATCCTAACCTAAGTCAGGGCTCTGGTCGAGAACAAGAGATCATAAGAGTGGGAGGGCTACAACCCAACGATGACACAAGACACGGGCCAGGAGCCAGGGGCACTCACTCACAGTTGCAGAACTGCGGAGCACACACGCCCCCTGGTGGATGCAGGAGACATGGCGACCTGGGGCAGGAGCTGGAGCCCAGGGCTCCAGCCCTGCTCCTGGCCCTGATCCTGCAACACTCACAGTGCCAGCCTTTTCAGATGGGCTCCGCTCACTTAGACACATGCGTGTTAGGTTCCCTCATGTCCTTCTGTGCCCTGAGAAGTCACTTATTGATATTGCAAATCATATTGTTCCATCGTACTAATGGACCAGATTTTATTGATTCATTCTCCGACTGACGGACATAGTAGTTGTTTTTAAGTTTTGGCAAACATGAATAAAAACCTGTAAACCACACGTGCGTATGCACTTGTTCGAACACCAGTGACTGACTTAAGCAAATACCTAGAAGTGAGCTTTCTGTATTGTGTCATAAGAGTGTTGAGTTGTAGGCAGTCTAATAGGAGCCTGGTGGTAACTCATTGTTTAAATTTGCTGTTTCCCTAGTAACATTTTCTGTTGTGCACCTTTGCACATGTTTTTCTCCTACGTGCATAATTTTTAGTAATGAGATTGGTCAGACCTGCTCGGTGGGAAGTTGTTCCCCAGAACCTGTGAATCAGAGGCTCCACACAGCTCTAAAATCACATAAAAAGAAAGAAAAAAGAGAAAAGAAAACTCAGCCTCTCTTTGGTTTCAGAGCAAAGAGAACTGTTAGTACAGCCCAGGCTGGTACCAGGGGACACACAGGGCGCTTTGCAGGGTCCCCTGGTTCTCCAGGGTCACACATGCTGCGCTTAGGCCTTTCCTAACCCCTTTCGGTTTTGTGCGGCCATTCTGCTCTGGAACCTAAGCAGTTCTGTTTGCATTGCAAGAACTGTACCTTCAAAGACAGATCTTTTATTGACATTGAATGATAGATAGAGCCGAAAGCATGGATCCTTCTGTTTCAATAGCACAAGTGACAGCAGAAGGAAAACCCTGAGCCGGTGGTGGTCACTGGCAGGGACAGGGAAGTGGTGGCCAGGCAGGGGCGGGGCGGGCAGATCGATCACACTTCCCCATAGAGCAGGAGGCCTTCTTGGCATCGGAGTTGCATTTGGCTCTAGGATCATGGTTATCAGCTCCTTCGGGGGCCTGGAAGCCAGGGGTGGTCAGGACGCTCTGGCGACAACACTGGACCCACCACATCAGGCTCGAACACTTGGACAGTTGCTCAGTGATCTCCTCAGTCACCAAAGCAGGGGCTCTACCCGGGGGCCCTGGGGAACATTGTCACGGGAACCGCCCGCGCGGTGCGGCTTCCTGCGCAGGAGAAGCCGACCTGCATCTGGGTTCACCAGCAGGTTCATGGGAGGGCCCATATCGGGGACCTCCTGCTTCTGATGTCCCGCGGCCCAGCCCGCACTCTGGATGGTGGGAGACCCCAGGGGAGTACGAGAGCAGGAGGGGACAGTCAGTGCCTGTGGGCTCAGGAAAGCCCACTGACAGTCATGAAGTCACGAGTCAGGGAGGAGGCCCCAGGGCACAGTGTCCCAGATCGGGCCTAGGTGGCTCGGACCGTGGGGATGTTGAAGAGGTACCACAGGTGCTCACTTATGGCACTAGTTGGAGGGTTAACGTGACTACCTTGGTCATCGTTTGTAGTCGCAGACACAGTATTGTGACATAATAGAAAATATATATTGGTCTCCATCCCTGGTTGCTCACACAGAACTCCTGGAACCCTTGAAATTTTGGGGGTGACAGGCAGGCTGATTGTCCTAATGAGGTGACTCTGGCTGGGCTCCTGGGTGAGGACAGGCCACTCAATAGACAAAGGCACGATTACAAGCTGGGAATGGACAGACCCGCCCTCTCTGCCACTTCCTTGACGAAGGAGAATGGCTCAGGCGGAGCCAGCACATTAATCTAGCAAATTAAATAATTGTAAAGGGAGGGACAATGGGAACCTCTGTCACCACAAGCTGTGCAAAACCCAGGGACAGCCCAGCCTGTGACAAGCACCTGCCGGGCGGGCAGTGCTGCAGGGCGGAGCCCTGAGACTGGCCTCTGACACCCGCTCCAGGCAGACCGGGCTGGGACTGAGTTACGTGGTGGGGCGTCTACCTGGTGTCTCAGAGAATTGCTTGTTGTGAGAACATATCCCCCGCATTTGGGTGACCAGATACGTCAGAAAGTTTCTGTGTGTGTACGAAAAAAGACACAGCAGGAGGAAAAATCTGAAATCTTTACTAAAAGATATTATTTTCCATTTAAAATTTACTGCAGGCACCAGGGGGATGGATCCCTGGGCTCTCTCAGCCCATCAGCGTCAGGGACCCTGGGGCGCCCCGCGCCCTCACTCGTCCCACTGTGCTGCTCTTTGCTCCTCCCATGGACATTTCGGATGGTGGAGGCGTCTCCTACAGAAGCCTCCACAGAAGCTTCTCGCTCAGAGCTGTAACCCCAGGGGTTTTTGTCTCACTTCCTCGTCATCTGAGCGACTGTGAGAAATTGATGCTGCTCCCACTGCCATGAGCTGCAGCACAGAAATAGTCGGCCTCGTCCTCAGGCTGCAACCCAGAGATGAGCAGGAGCCGGGCATTGGCCGAGGCGTCTTTGGACCGAGAGACGCGGCTGGAGATCCCGGATCTCTGGTACTTGATTGAGTCTGATTAGCAGGACAACAGATACCGGGGAGGGCTCCCTGGCTTCTGCTGGAACCTGAATATGTAGTAGCTGCCAACGCTGAAGCCACTGCTGAGAGTCCAGGTGAGTCTGGCCGTGGCTCACGGAGACGCAGAGAGGGAGGGCGGCTGGGTCAGCACAGGCTGCGAGAGGGAACCTGCAGAAACACAGACACTTGTCAGTGACGGGGCAAGAACCAGATGACATTTCTCAGGAGAAGGAGCATGAAGGGAATACACTTGGAAACTGAGGCCTGGTCCCCGGGCCTGTCCCAACCTGTGCACTGAGAGAGGAGCACGAGCAGGAGAGGAGTCCAGGCCATGGTGCCCGCAGCCCCTGAGCCCGCAGTGGGGCTGGGCTGCCCAGGCCTCCTTTTCTTCCCCACCCTCTGCCAGGGGAGGGGCCGTCCATGTCAATGTCTGTCCCCCCAGGGGCTGCCCCGCCCCTCCCTGAACCCTGGTGCTGGAGCTCAGCCCACACCCCAGACTGGGGAGCATGAAGCCTGGCTTCACCCCTCAAGAGAACCCCTGGGGAAGCACATCTTGATACAACACTGATGGCCATCAGAGGGACTTTATGAGGCCACAGAAGACACAGCTGCTGAGTCCCCATCATGTGCACAAGGCCTAGGACCCTGTCCCCGGCCCTTATCAATGAATGGTGTCTAAGCAGCAGCTTCATAGGCACCCCAGGACAGTGGCACGGTGCCCCCGGCTGGTGGCAGCACGCACTCCTCCTGATGGCCCCAAGCCCTGAGAGCCCAGAGGCTTTCTGCAGCTCAGCAGGTCACTGACTCTATGCACACATCCAGGGTCTGGTTCCCAGTCACTGTGACTCAGATCCAACATACTGGGTACTGTGGCGTCTCACTCCCAGGAGTTCCCAATAGTGGGAGGTGCAAACATGTACGTAAATGTTTAAAAATTCATCTCGTGTGTTCCCTAAAGTTCCCATCCTCAGCCACCTGGTTCTGGACCCTGTCAGTGCTGCCTCTCCCCTGCTGAGAGCCACCCTCAAGTGCAGCGGAAGCCCCTCCCCTTCACTCCTCACACTGCTGTGAAAGCAAACCTCTTAACCAATACTGACAATGATAAAATTCCAGACGTAATTCAAAGACACTGCACACTCCCAAGCCCCTTCTAGTTCCCTTACAAAGAGAGTTTACGTCATCGCCTCTCTCCCCTTGTGCTCAGACGCGAAGGTTGATCCTACACCCCGAAACCATGGCAGCTCCACGTCTCCCCACACCTTCCTATCCACACCAAAGGGAGACCAGGCCTCAGAGGCAGGAGGCACCTTAGTCCTTCTGGCACTCAGGAAAACTATCTCAAACAGTAAATAACTAAGGTGAAGTCAACAGGAAGGAACTGGGGCCCATGGGAGGAAGTTTCAGGAAATCGGGTTTCAGAACAAAATGAGAATTGCTTAACCATAAACTGAGCTCAGAACCCGCTCTTCCAGCAGGTGCGGGCCGGAACCCCGATCCCGCGGAGAGCCCGGACTAGCAGCCATGAGGACGGCCCCTGCCCACTGCGGGGGCCACACTGTGCTCGCTGCACCCGGGGGTGAAGCCGTCTGGGGCTCTCAGGTTCTCCACTCTGTGACGTCAGATCTCAGAACACAGGGCCTCAGAACACAGCCTCCAGGCTGGATCTTTTCAGAGCACAACATTTTTTTACAGTTTGAGATGAAAATGCAGTGAAACACACTGCAACAGGAAAAGCACATTCGCTATCCTTTTATAAGATGTTTTTTAAAACAGCATTTTTTTGCTAAATCCTCAGCAGGAAGGTAGAGAGAAACATCAACGTGTTAGGAGAATCTGAGCTTGAATCCAGTTGCTAGGTTTCAATTGCATTTATATCACGTGTCTCTGCCACAACATGGACAACTCACGTCTCCTGCAGTTCAACCATCCTCTCTGTAAAATGAAGACAACATAGGTGCGTGTTTTCCCGCTTTGCGTCGTAACCAGGAGACGCTTGGATAGATTATCTTTAGCGAACAAACCTAACACAAGAAGCCACATAGACTCTAGCGTCATTTACACACTGACTGAATTAAATTCAAAAGACAAACGGGGTGCCCTGGACGCACATATACACAAGGTACCATATGATTCCTTGGCCATCATTCACGTTGTCTTTGCTGTTTCCGCCTCGTTAAAAAGTGGTTTTCAAAACACAGGGAATTATACTCATGTACTTCTTTGTATTAACTATTTGCTGTAATAATACAACTTCTTAGGCCATTTCCATGTTTTATCAAGCACGGTTTTAAGCTCTTCACATATCTTACTCCTTAATCTGCACAATAACCCCGTGACTCGCACAAGTTTTGCACCCTCTCTACATTTAGGCAAACTAAGTCGGTGGATAAATATATTGCCCTAGATGTTCTGGGTTTCCAGTGGCCCAACAAATTATCACAAAGAACTTAGAACAGCGCACAATGATAAACTCCCACACCCTGATGGTTGGAGAGCCCGGGGAAGTGCGAGAGGACAGAGCACGGTCGGTGCCGGTGGGCCTAGGAAAACCCACTGGCAGCCATGAAGGCACAGGTCATGGAGGGTGACCAAGGGCACAGCATCCAGGGTCAGGCTGAGGGCCTGGGACGGCGGGGATGTCCAGCATGTGATACTAGGTTCGCATGTGACATTAGCTTGTGGGTGACCGTGACTGGCTTTGTCATCGTTTCTAGTTGCAGACCCAGCATGGTGAGAAGTAGGAAACACAGTGGTCGCAGCCCCCGGTGTCTGGCACAGACCTCCTGACCTTGGAACTCCCAGGGTGACAGCTGTGACTTTTGCTCTAACAGCTGGCTCTGGGGGACTCCTGGGTGAGGTCTGTCCCTCAACAGACAAAGCATGGTCACACTGGGCATAGTCACACCTGCCCCCCATTTCCTTGAGGAGGGAGGAGGGGTCAGGTGGAGTCAGCAAATTAGTCTAGGAAATTCAATGAAACGAAAGGAGAGGCCATTGCAGCCTTGGAGCCACAGCCAAGAAGTTGTAAGAGACCTGGGGACGCCCTGCTTGTGACAGGCTGCCGAAGTGCGGGCAGTCCCTTGGGACAGAGCCCTTCAGCTGAGGACCTGACACCGTCTCCACAAGGCTTGTGGTAGAACAGAGTTATGTTGTGGGATGGCCAGCAGGTGCCACAGACAATTGCCTGTTGTGAAGAAAAATTCCCCACATTTGGTGACCAGATGTGTCAGAAATGAAGAGTGTGTGTGAGTAGAAACCAAGACAGAGAGTTTAAAGGAAATAAGATTTTTACCTAAAAATATTTATTCGTCCTAAATTTTACTCCAGACACTAGGGGGATAGTCAGTCGGGTTCTATCAGCCCATGAGCGTCAGCGACCCTGGGGCGCCCCGCGCCCTCACTCGTCACACTGTGCTGCTCTTTGCTCCTGCCACGGACATTTCTGCCTGCAGAGGAGTCTCCTTACAGAGGTCCCCACAGAAGCTCTCACTTCGGGGAGGCTCAGAGCCGTAACCTTGGGCCCAGAGGATTTTGTCTCACTTCCTCATCGTCTGAGACACTGTGAGAAACTGTTACTGCTCCAACTGCCACTACCTGCAGCACAGAAATAGTCGGCCTCGTCCTCAGGCTGCAGCCCAGAGATGAGCAGGAGCCCGGCATTGGCCGAGGCGTCTTTGGACCCAGAGAAGCGGCTGGGCACCCCGGAGCCCTGACCCTTGTCTGAGTCTGACTTGTAGTTCAGCAGATATCGGGGAGGGCTCCCTGGCGTCTGCTGGTACCAGGATATGTAGTAGCTGCCAACACTGATGTCACTGCTGAGGGTGCAGGTGAGTCTGGCCGTTGCTCCCGGAGACGCAGAGAGGGAGGGCGGCTGGGTCAGCACAGGCTGCGAGAGGGAACCTGCAAACACAGACACTTGTCAGGAACGGGGCCGCAACCAGGACAATTTGTCAGTATACGGAGCACGGGAGGAATAAACATGGGAATGAGGCCTGATCCCGGGCCTGTCCCTACCTGTGCACTGAGAGAGGAACACGAGGAGGAGAGGAGTCCAGGCCATGGTGCCCGCAGCCCCTGAGCCCGCAGTGGGGCTGGGCTGCCCAGGCCTCCTTTTCTTCCCCACCCTCTGCCAGGGGATGGGCTGTCCATGCAAATGTGTGTCCATCCAGGGGCTGCCCAGCCCCTCCCTGGGCCCTGGTGCTGGAGCTCAGCTCACACCCCAGACTGAAGAGGATAAGGGTTGGCGACACCCCCTGGAAGAACCCTTTTGGGGAAGCACCTCTTGAGACAACTCCGAAGTCCCTTCTCAGGGAACTTATGAGGCTACAGAGGACACAGCTGCTGATTCCCCATCAGGGTGCACAGGGTTGAGCCCCCAGACTCAGGCTCCTAATAGTGAAAGGTCCCTAAGAAGCAGCTCCGTAGGCTCCACAGAGCAGCCCCACAGCGCCACCTGATGGTGACAGTTCACACGCCTCCTTATGGCCCAAAGCCCAGAAAGCACATCAGGTTTTCTGCAGCTCAGCAGGTCACTGACTCTATTCCCACATCCAGGGTCTGGTTCTCAGATACTGTGACTCTGATCCACTGTACTGGATACTGTGGTATCTCACATCCAGTTGTCCCCATCTCTGGGAGGTGCAAACATGTACTTAAATGACAAATTAATTTCATCTCCAGTGAAGATGTTGCAAATATAAATGCACAGTGACCTGCATGTCCAATGTCACAGACCAGGAGACTGTTCATCTGGTTAGAAGGGCTCGTGTGGGCTGTTCAGAGAAATTTCCAGGAACACACTCAGAGGCATGTGCAGAGGAGGCCACCTCAGCAAACATTTCTAGTCACGTGATACATATACAGTTTTCACAGATCTGATTTGATTAAGTGATTGGTAAAAGAATGGCTTTTAAAGGTTTCACATTTAACAGTGGAAAGTGTAGCTTGCTTATTCATTTTAGGAATTAACTTTTATTCTTAGTTTTCTCTTATTTTTTTTAAAGAACTGTATTTTAATGCCTTTATTTATTTATTTGTAGGGAGGGGAAGAGAGGGAGAGAAACATCAACGTGTGGTTGCCCCTCACATGTTCTCTATGGGGACCTAGCCTGCAACCCAAGCATGTGTCCTAGTCTGGGAATCAAACCTGTGACCTTTTGGTTCATAGGCTGGCACTCAATCCACTGAGCTACACCAGCCAGAGCATTTTCTCTTATTTTTTATTATTTTTTCTTAGTGTTCTGCATACTTGTGTCATGTTTTCTTTTTAGGATTTTATCTTTAGTGACCTATAATTTGTTTACATTTTAAACAAAATTTTCCTACCTTAATTTTTTTCACTCATTGTCTCACTGTAGTAGCAGGATAATAGCAGGTGCGACGCGTTTGCAGATGTGCTGACTGACTGGGCCGTTGGAGGCAGAGACCATCACTTCCCTCTGTGCCCGCATCCAGCTCTGCTTTGACTGTGCCCATGCCCAATGGCCCCCAGGCTCCCGGACTCCCAGGGCCTCTTAGGAAATGACTAGGACCAGGATCACTTGCTCCCTTGGCTCTGTGTCCTCGAGGCACTCGAGGGGCCTTTCTCATTCAGCTCAGGCAGGTCACCCCTTGCTGAAAACCCTCAGTGACTCATCACTGCTGTTTGCACAGAACCCCAGCTCCTTGGCTCCCCTCAGGGGGCTTCATGGGTGGCCCCGTCCCATCTACCCCCACCATGCAGCCCCTGGCCGTGCTCTCAGACCTCCAGCTTCCCCCACTTCCCTGTTACTTCAAACCCTGACTTCTGTCCCATCATAGTGTTCAAGGCGACTCCTCTTCTGACCTTTGGAAAGAAATAAGATTTAACTTGAATCATGGTGACAACACACATTTTGGCAGTTCTGAGTGGCTCTTAGTAGCAGGGTGCTCACACCGCATCGCAGGATGAATTAGAGGATTAAAAGGACAACGTTGAAGTTACACAAACTATACAGAAGAGTTCAAAGAACCAGCTGCATCAATTATGCCACCTCCACCTCCGTCCATAGGCCTCCTCTAGTTTAATCTTCTACCTTCTGTATCGCTCCTTCTGCTCCGGCACTGACTATGAAAAACACATCCACTCAGCATGTTCCTCCGTCAGTATGTTTTATGTATGTGTGTCAAAATCTCCACAATGGTTAGCTAATTGATTGCTGTGCTGATTGAGAGGGTGAAGGAGGAACAGGGCTTCCTGTGTTTGGGGTCCTGAGGTTCATGGGTGACATGTTTGAGTAGAAGAAGTCCAGGCCAGCACTCACGTCCTCAGACAGTCATTTATTGGCTTCCTTCACCCACGCCACGGGGCAGAAGCCTGTCTTTGTGCACAGAGTATTCAAACCCATGGTTCTTCCTTCATGAGTTTTCCTACCAAAGTCTTCTGTGGGACTTTGGGTTGAGAAGTTGAATATTATATTTCATTCACTACATGGTGGATTTTGAGCTGCATGTTAGTCTCAGGTGACAATTGATGATCTTACAAATTATTTAAGTGAAATGTGAGCAGACATTCAAACTACCACCTTGCACTGGGCAAGTAAATTTGTTCATGGCAGTTGTCTTGTCTTCTCTCCTCGGTGTTTGCTCCTCACCTACCCGCTGCACCATCTGTTCTCTAGGACCCACACAAACATGACCCAAGGGTCCAAGACCTTGTCCTATGTTTATTCATCTTTGCATCTCAGGCTCAAAAAACATTCCATAAGAGAATAAATGAAAAAGATATAAAATGTATTTATGTGGAATGTGTACAATTTCAAAATATTAACTGCACATGTTCTTTGGCCAATATTTATACTTCACACTTTTTTTGTTTTGTTTAATCTTTATTGTATTTTTTCCATTACCATTTAGTCCCCTTACACCCTCCTCCCCGCACCAGTCACCACACTCTTGTCCACGTCCGTGAGTCCTTTTCCTTTTGGTTAGTCCCTCCGCCCTCTGATCTCATCACCCCCACCACCAGCTGCCATCCTGCCGCACTGCGCTCTTTGGCTGGGAGGAGTTTCCACATAACTGGATCATATGCTCTGCCTCATGTGAGTCTGTGTAACTCTTTTGTCTAACAGATGAGAACACAGAAGCACAGAGAGATGACATCCAGCTGCTGGCATTAACAGGACTCAAAGACAAAGCCTGCTTACCAGTTGAGATTATGTCATTTAACCCAGCAGTTCTCAACCTGGGGTGATTGGGCCCCTTCAAGGGATATTTGAGAATCTGGAGGTAGTGTTGTGGGTCATGACTTAACATGGGGGTGCCACTGTCATCTTATGTGCAGAGTCCCAGGGATGCATCTCAATATTCCACATGCACAGAACAGACCCTTCCACAAGCTATGACCCGTCCCCATTGTCATAAATGCACAGGCTCAGATACCCTGTTCTTAACTAACTCACTTTCAGGGATTCATTGCAAAGGAAATAGGCAATCAACCATCATGACATGGGGAAATACTGGAAATGAACTAGAGGGACTCATAAACCTCTAATCTCAACACACTCTTTCTCGCAGGAGACAGAAGAGAGCACCCCTCCTTGGTGGGGACAGGTTGAGTACAGACCCAGAAAAGGAAGCTCTTGGAGTTTTGATCTCACTTCCCCATGAGTCTGGAGCACTGTGTGACTACTGCTACCATAATATGACTGGCAGTAGTAGTCGGCCTCATCCTCAGGCTGCAGAGCAGAGATGGTTAGGGAGGTGGCATTGGGGGAGCTGTCAAACCCTATAAAGAGGTTCATGTGTCAAGGAACTCAGGCCTTCTGCCACCTGCCTTGTGACTCCACCAAATTAGAAGGTGATCCACCATCCCCAGCCAAAATCTTTACTGTACCTCATGAGCAATCTAAGCCAGAAACACACTTCTAGGCAGTTTCCAATTTCCAAGTCACAGACATCATGGAACCACACATGTTATTTTAAGCTTTTAAGGATTAGAGAATTTTGATGTGAAGAGGTAGATGATGAATACTTCAAGAGAGGGAAGTGGCCAAAGCTAGTCATGTGACCAACCTGAGTTCAGTAGGGTGGGAAGGTACAATGTATATAATACTCCCACAGGGAGATGTGTTGGAGATTGCAAAGAATGATAGAGTGTTAGATGTTTGTATATTACAGGTGGGGAAACAGTTAAGGAAATGGTAAGTGAATTGTCCAAGTCAGCACTGTCTAGTAGAATTTCCTGCCATGGAGGAAATGTTCTACCACCGCACTTTCAAATATGACAGCCATGAGGCTCACGAAGCCATTAGGCTGTTGAAGTGCAACTAATGTGAGTGAGAAATAGAATTTTTAATTTTACTTAAGTTAACATAAACTTAAATATAAGTGTTTACATTCTTCTAATGGAGACTGGATCATAGAGGTTCAAGGACCAAAATTTGAACAGAGCCAAACAGAAGCAAAGTCGAAGTTGAAACCGACCTCTTGGTGCAGGAAAGGACATTATTATGCACTCATCTATGCTGCTGTTCTTGTCTGTGTCTCATACCCATCTTAAATGTAAACTGAGAGAGTATACAGTCTTGTCATGTCTTTCTTCATCTTTGAATCCCTGAAGAAACGTGAAGAGATCTATTTTATTTTGTGTGTTTTGTATAAAGTTCAAAAATATTAATTACACATCTAGCCTAGCCACAAGTCCTACTCCACACTCTGGTTGAGAAAAAATTCCATGTGATTGGGTCACAGTCTCTCCAACCTTGTGTGAGTCTATGTAACTGTTTTGTCTCACAGGTGGGAACTCAGAAGCACAGAGAGATGACACGTTAGCCTCCATCCAGCTGAATGGCATAAACAGGACTCAAAGTCAAAGGCTGCCTAACGGCTGAGAACATGTCCTTTTAACCCAGTGGTTCTCAACCTGGGGTATTTCCCCACCTCGGGGGTTATGTGTGAATGCCTAGAGATGTTTTTGTTGATGGTGACTTAGAGAGTAGGGTGCTACTGATTTGTGATGTGTGGAACCCAAAAGATGTTTCCAATGGTTCCATGCATAGAACAACCCCCTCCACAAGCAGTGACCCTGGCCTCATGGTCAGT